AACTGATTTTTCCCAATTTCAATAGGGTTCGTCCTTGTGTCAAATAAATGTGCTGTGCCAAATTTCATCCAATTCGGATCATAAATGCGACCTGTACTTTGTTTACAATTTAACAATGACAAACCCTATTGAAATTGGAGAAAATCGGTTAAAGTTTAGATATAGCTCCCATATATATTTTCGTCCGATTTTATATAAATGGTACACCAAAGTCTTTATATTTTCTTTTGATTTACAAAAAAATGGCCATATCGTACTCAATGTCATGTGTTAAGTTTCGTTGAAATCTGTTCAGATTTAGATATAAAACATACGACATATGTTTTCGAAATTGTATACCTAATATGTAACGTTTGATTGATTGCACTGCGGATTTCATACAAATGATACACCAAGTATTCTGAATCAGCCCAATTGATATGTAATCACTACTTTTGTCCGATGAAATGAAATCTACTTTTGTCCGATTTCCAGTAGGTAACATTTATTAGAGAAGGACGTATGTTGTATTAGAGAAGGTTTATATTGGAATACATCTGATTGTATCATACGATAAAAATTTTTAGAGCATCTCTTGTTCATACCGAAAGTGGTGAACGATAACATATATTTTCTTGTATATATGTACTTTATGGGGTCTCCGAAGAATATTTCGAAGGCCGGACTGTCAAATTAAAAGAGGTACATTTAAAATATAACATTAGTTCTTCGGACATACCAAACATGGTGTTGCGAACAGATTTATATTTTTAGAATATTATTTACTCTTACTCCCAAAATCATCGACATGTCATCATCGATTTTTTTATTATTCAACATTGTGACTTCGATGGGGACTATGAACAGCCACGCCAAGTGTATCAGCTTGTGGCTATAATATGTCGCTGTGTTAAATTGTAGGCTCTGACAAAAACTGCATGCTTTCCCTTTCCCCTAAATTAAAAATTAACGATGAATTCTTTAGTATCCATTATGTTTTCCACCAAAGGTTTTTGTCAAGGACACCATTGTTATGCGTTGGTTTAAAATCTTCTCCTGGCTTTCGCCGTTGATCTTTGTGGCAGCATATGGAGTGGCGAGATATTTCCATCCTGAAGATAATAAACAGTAAGTAATTAATCACAATAGAGGCGTAACGAAAATCTCATATCCTGTGTGATTTACATTTGTTTTCCCATTAAAATAGTTGCTGGATGAATGATAGTTTTTTGCTATGGATATTCTCGGTGCCGGTGTGCATCTCCTTGGTTTCTAGTTTTTGTGAGTTAATTATATATCAAATATAACTGAAATCTACTTTATTGTTTCAGACTATAACAATTTCCTGTAATCATAAAAAGGCAATAAATAAATCGATCTGATTTTCCATTACAGTTTTTCTGATTAACGTCCTGCGCGTTATTGTACGAAAATTACACCCACAATCAGCCCAACCGGCACCATTGGCCATACGCAAGGCTGTAAGGGCAACTATTATTTTGGTAATGTATTCCCCAAATTACAAAAATTCATACTTATGTGGATATATACACCTGTAGTCGATTTATGTTCATTGGGCTGTAAAATTAATTTCCCCCCCTGTGTTTTGTTTTTGTTTGACTTTTATTGACAGGTTCCTCTCTTTGGGTTACAACATTTTCTATTACCTTATCGTCCGGATTCAGGCACACCATTGGAACGTTTCTATCAACTGTTGTCTGTCATTTTGGTTAGCCTACAAGGCTTTGTGGTGTCGTTCCTATTCTGTTTTGCCAATCATGATGTGACATTTGCTGTGCGCAGTCTTTTGAATCGTTTGATGCCCAGCATCGTCTCACCACCGCCACCCACCAGCAGCACAGGTCAAGTGGCTACAACAACTCCTAGTCGTGAATTAGGTGTTTAAGGGGGTCGAAATTGAGATACATTTAAATCCTGATTAAAACAATGTAACCCTCCTCTAACAAGTGTACAACCTATATCGTCCCAAATTAATGTTAGGAATAAGAATACATCTAATATTTGTACCTATTAAATTCTTAAGGAGATTAATTTGTTAAAGTTCCCGTACTCTAAATGAGAGTATAAACTATGTTAAAGTATTCCTGCATTTATTTTTCAACATTTTTGTTTACTTATTGTGATTATTGAAAATTTATACTCCATATATTGTATTGTAATAATTAAACCAGTAAGGAAAGTAGTAAAGTCGGACGGGGCCGACTATATGATACCCTTCACCACTATGGGTATATTAAACAGGACTATTAACATGTAATTGGATGAAAAAAAGTAATATTTATCTAAATGTGAATCTACCTAGATCTATCCATAAAGTATGTTAATCGACTTCAAACAAATATAAATAAGTCCGTTGGGCTATGTCTGTACTTCTAGAAAACGCAACTACGTAATTGTATGCTCAATTTTGTGCGTTGTGCACAATTTGATGTCAATCTGACTAACATGAGGAGTCTGATGCCCAATTTACTTGAAATCGGTCGAAAATATATATGGAAGCTCTATCCAAATATTAAGCGATTTCAAACAAACTTGTCACAGGTTAGGTTATACTAATTTCAGAACGTTTTGTTTCTATTGGTTCCTTAGTACGTCAATTACTTAAAATCAATCTATAATAAAAGGGAGCTATATCTAAATCTGGACCGATTTTCACGAAACTTAGCATCATTTTAGGCTCAATTCAGTACGTTATGACAAATTTCGTGCAAATCGAAAGTTATATAGGGACTTTGGGGCACCATTTACATGAAATCGTACGAAACTATATGTGGGAGCTATATCTAAATCTGGGCCGATTTTCTCGAAACTTGGTAGACATAATTCTAGGCTCAATTCAGTGCGTTATGCCAAATTTCGTGCAAATCGAAAGTTATATAGGGACTTTGAGGCACCATTTACATGAAATCGGACGAAACTATATATGGGAGCTATATCTAAATCTGGACCGATTTTCTCCAAACTTGGCAGACATCACTCTAGGCTTAATTCAGTACGTTATGCCAAATTTCGTGCAAATCAAAATATATATAGGGACTTTGGGGCACCATTTACATGAAATCGTACGAAACTATATATGGGAGCTATATCTAAATCTGGACCGATTTTCTCGAAACTTGGTAGACATCATTCCAGGCTCAATTCAGTACGTTATGCCAAATTTCGTGCAAATCGAAAGTTATATAGGGACTTTGAGGCACCATTTACATGAAATCGGACGAAACTATATATGGGAGCTATATCTAAATTTGGACCGATTTTCTCCAAACTTGGCAGACATCACTCTAGGCTTAATTCAGTACGTTATGCCAAATTTCGTGCAAATCGAAAGTTATATAGGGACTTTGAGGCACCATTTACATGAAATCGGACGAAACTATATATGGGAGCTATATCTAAATCTGGACCGATTTTCTCCAAACTTGGCAGACATCACTCTAGGCTTGATTCAGTACGTTATGCCAAATTTCGTGCAAATCAAAAGATATATACGGACTTTGGGGCACCATTTACATGAAATCGTACGAAACTATATATGGGAGCTAAATCTAAATCTGGACCGATTTTCTCCAAACTTGTTAGACATCATTCTAAGCTCAATTCAGTACGTTATGCCAAATTTCGCGCAAATCGAAAGGTATATAGGAACTTTGGGGCACCTTTTACATGAAATCGGACGAAACTATATATGGGAGCTATATCTAAATCTGGACCGATTTTCTCCAAACTTGGCAGACATCACTCTAGGCTTAATTCAGTACGTTATACCAAATTTCGTGCAAATCAAAAGATATATAGAAACTTTGGGGCACCATATACATGAAATCGGACGAAACTATATATGGGAGCTATATCTAAATCTGGACCGATTTTCACGAAACTTGGCAGACATCATTCTAGACCTAAATGATTAAGCTGTACCAAATTTCGTGCAAATCGAAAGATATATAGGGGCCGTTTACATTAAATCGGTTAAATATATATATGGGAGCTATATCTAAATCTGAACCGATTTTTCCCAATTTCAATAGGGTTCGTCCTTGGGCCGAATAAGTGACCTATACCAAATTTCATTCAATTCGGATCATAAATGCGACCTGTACTTTGTTTACAATTTAACATGGACAGACAGACAGACAGACGGACGGACGGACGGACATGCATAAATCGACTTAGAAAGTGATTCTATGCATATTCTCAAAAGGAACCATGTGTCTATCTCGTTTCCTTTTGCCTGTTACAAACATATGCACAAAGACATAATACCCTGTACCACAGTGTGGTGAAGGGTATAAAAAATGTATTATTCGTAGATGTGTAATGCGTAAATATGTATGTATATCATTTGTCAATGAAATGTGTATAATGTAAGTGAAAATATAAATTCTCGCTATATTTATGTATGTACAATAAAGTGATCACAACTAATGACACGTTTTTAATTATAATAATGGAAATAGTTTAAAAGGGTAAGTTTAGATATTTTTAAATTCATTTAACGAATATTTAATTTCTATCTAAAAATGTGATGTGAAAAATTTTTTTTTTTTGATGTGAAAAAAAATTTTTTTTGGATGTGAAATAAGAACATAAATCTGACATAGGTTTGGAGTTATGGTGTGATGACTCGTGACCATAAAATGCATGAAGAAATAGAAATAGTTAGAAGAAATTGCAGGTTATAAGGTTTCAAATCCTCAGACAAGCTTAGATTCAATTAAGAAGGAGAGTAATTGATTTTGTCTAATAATTAAGGATCGTCATACACTGCGTATCATAACTATAGACGCACCCTTAATTCAATTGGTATGTTAGTTGACAAATAAAATGGACCCATTAAGTTATTGTTCACAATAAAACGATCAAAAACACATATTATCCAACAAAAATAATTAATTTATTCTTTATGGTTTCGCCGAACTCTGCACTTTCAAAATTGCTGGTGTTGCATAACTATAGACGCACTGTTACAAAATAAGAAAAATTTATTTTTTAAAACTTAATTGAAATAAAATAACTTTTATAAATAATGGGTAGGGCCTCCCTTATTTTGAATAAGTTCAAAAATTGCATTTTATAGCCACGGAATACTTTATTTGACATTTCCATGTTGTTGGATGAATTCAATGGAATACGTGCGAGTCTTGGAAGAAAAATTATTGCAATTTTGGGAAAGCAGCAACAATCAAGGACTCGGTTTTCAGCAGGACAACGCGCCAGTTCATAAAAGTCGCCGTATTCAAGTATGGTTAAAATTAAAATATATTAAAATTTCCGATCGAGAACATGTGTGGAATCTTGACTCATCGTGTCTATGCAGAAAACCTCCAATACCAAACTGTATTTTACCTCCAAGAATTGATTATCGATGAATGGCGGTCAATCGATGAAGACTTGCGAATAATTTTGATCAACAGTGTGATGGATACAATTTTTGAACTTATTCAAAATAAGGGAGGCCCTACCCATTATGTATAAAAGTTATTTTATTTTATTTAAGTTAATTTTGTAAAAGTGCGTCTATAGTTATGCAACACCAGCAATTTTGAAAGTGCAGAATTCGGCGAAACCATAAAGAATAAATAAATTACTTTTGTTGGATAATATGTGTTTTTGATCGTTTTATTGTGAACAATAACTTAATGGGTCCATTTTATTTGTCAACTAACATACCAATTGAATTAAGGGTGCGTCTATAGTTATGATACGCAGTGTATTTCTTTCAAACTCGTACCTAAATCTATTTTGATTTTGGAGACTTACTTCTTCTGGCACCTCCCCCACAAAGAATACAATTAAAACCCATAGGAAATGAATGGAGTATGTGATTTGATAAATCGATTGTTAACAGTCATATTTTAGACAAATCTACGTTAAATCCGTGGTACATAAAATTACACGTACCACATAAATATTACATATACCAGTCTGGACTCCCCAGTTAAAAACCAATAAGGAGGTCCAAAAGTTGGACGCGACCGACTATAATTATGCTAATATATATATTTTAAATAACATAATTGAAATGCAATTTTAGTGAAGTAACATAATGAGTATTCCAACCGGTTTCAATATAAAGCAAATAGTTCGGAGTGTTTTCAGGTAAAAATAATTATTTTTTAATGAAAAAAAAACGAATCAGTTTTTCCATATCATCCCCAAACTTGTGTAGCCAAACTTGGGCAACGTATAACATTATATGTCTTTGGTGGATAGATATCTTGACCATGTAGAGTTTTTAAATATTTAAAAGCCAGAGATTGCTTGTTTTTTATATGTTTATTGACAGATAAGTTATAGGTCAAATCAACTCCCAGGTATTTATAATAGTTCACAATTTCAATATCCTGATCACCAAAATGCTAATTAAGATCTCTTAAAATTCTCGGACCTTTTCCGAAGACATTTATTTTTGATTTTGAGAGTTTGACTTTAAGGTTCCACATGAGGCAGTAGTCCCATAGTATATCAATCTTTTCCTGTAGTCCATTAGGCGTATTTGATAATGTGACAATATCATCAGCAAAGAGTAAAATTTTTAAGTTGGTATTAGCAACATTAAGTCCGCCTGGAAGAATTTCATGTAGATCATTTAGGTATAGTGAAAATAACATTGGACTGAGCATACACCCCGTCTTTACACCCGAGTCTATTCCAAGAAAGGATCAAAACAGAAAGGAATACAACAACTGATTTTTTGGTCATAACTATCCAACAGTAATACGCTAAAATGCTTCACAAAATCATCCGCCCTGAGATCACCTATATTAGAAATGCTACGATCTTTTAATGAGTTGGGCAATTGCCACCAGTCTTTGCTACATGTTACAGAATGAAGTTTCCTTAAATTATTGTTGTAGTATTTCATTTTGTTTTGTTTGCTCA